CTCACTAACTGACAGCTTAATAACTCTACTTCCCCGCTCCCCCCACACCCCAACACCCAAAATGCCCCCCCCCCACTATCCTTCCCCTTCACTCAATCCCACCCAATACCCTATACAACGCCCTTCCCTTCCCCCCAACACACAAAGCCACCCTAACTTTACACCCTGGTAACTCCTTTTGATACCACTCGACCGTAAAGATGCAACTAATCAACGCTAAATTTAACACGGTGATAGAAGTCTCAGAAAAAGAGAGAGACTCGTTAGGGTAATTAATAGAGGACTTAGCTTCAACAGTTGATTATATGAAGGATGAAAGTGTGTGTGTGGTTGAAAAAAGCCGGACCACAACAAGCATGAAGGTTGAGGCCGGGGCAGGACAACACTAAGTCGAGACTCATGGAGATTGTACTATGCTATACTCGACCTCCTACACACTTAACAGTTGCTCTTGAGTGTTACCCCTGGAAATATTTTACTTGGTTGAGGTTGGTCAAGGAGAAAAGGTCAAAGTTTATTCAGGTTTCTTAAAGAACAGATATCCGAACTTTGATTTTTTTTTCTGGGTGAGTAGTGTCTCTGGAGTGTCCCTGGAGACCTATGACAGATCAATCAAATGTGTGGAAGATCACTTTAGGTATAAACGACGCTCTGACTTGATACTGAAGACTTAACTCTGGATGAAATGTGATAACTTGACCAATTACTTTCCTGCTGACGACACTTTCTCATTTCTCTCTCATTTTATTTTATTTTTGTCAATAGTAGTGACGACTGGGAAAATTTCGGAAAAAAAGTTTTGGATTTTGCAGGAAACTTCTTCATTGTTAAGACGTCAATGTTTGGAGAATTCTGTCCTCATAATATTTGACTGTTGATGGACAAGTGTATTCATTAACCTCGTTACGCGCTTAAAGACCCAAGTTGTTGAAGCGCAGTAATAACATTATAACAATAACGTCTACATTATTTGGATTGGTCTTCATACTCAATAGTTTTACTTTTATGATTCAATTTCGGTAATAAAAATAACAATAACAATAACAATAACAATAACAATAACAATAATAATAATAACAATGAAAACAATAATAACAATAATAATAATAATAATAATAATAATAATAATAAAAATAATAATAATAATAATAATAATAATAATAATAATAATAATAATAATAAAACAAGGATACATCGGGCTGGTATAAACATGATAACACCTCACTTGATCCTTTAAGCCGTGAGCCGGATAGGAACATGGAAATACCCTAAGATATGAACACTCCAAGGCTGACTACAGTAAACAAATAACCTATGTACACAGTTACCCCTGTTTCCCATAGTAAACTCGAGCTACAGTAATGGAATGGCAACCGAATGGAAGAAAGAACAGATAAGGGCCTTGGGAACCTCAAAGCAGAAGGTTGATGGTATATTCAACAGTGTGAAGGAGTGTGAGCAGGACTGAGCTCACTGGATAGACTTCATCGTTGATCTATGAACCACTTAAGGTCAGGATAATCTTAGTATGTAAGTGTGACCTAATGGTGATGTCTTAGGCGAGAAAAGATCGACATTACTACATAACTTGTCAACTTTGTCTCTGCGGTTCATGTTTGGATTATGGTGACACTGGTGGCGTTGTGGCCGCTGGTGGCAATTGTGTGAATCTAGTTTTTTTTTTTTTTACCTTTAAATAAAAAGCGTCTTTGAAAGATCTCGTCTTTATGAAAATAATATTCATGAATACATACAAAAACTTTTTAAGTAAACATAAAATATAAAAAAGCAGCCGTATTCTAAATTCACCATCATTTGCGTCATGCGTTTGAACGACAACAATTTATATTAAAACAAAACGAAAAAAGCATTTGGTATTTTTTTTAACATATTTATGAAATTGTTTACCCTATTTACCGCATGTCGATGATTAACGGATTAGCGTAGCAGATACAGAGCATTGTGTAAATAAAAATATAAACCAAACATAAAATACAACACGATACAAGATAAATATAAATAAGATATGAAGCGCTTGAATAATACAAATTACTCACATATCATTACCTATAATTAATTAGTCGCCAATAGGGTAATTATCCTTTACTTGTTTTATCTTTACAATCAATTATCCTGATCTATTAATCATCTAATTTATCTTTAATAATTATTATGTCTTATCAGTTAATTATTCTATCTTAATTATACACTTACACTTTCATTAATACACCTCACTCACTTCACCAGCCCCTCACTTCCCCAGCCTTAATACCCCTCACTTCACCAGCCTTAATACCCCTCACTTCACCATCCTTAATACCCCTCACTTCACCAGCCTTAATACCCCTCACTTCCCCAGCCTTAATACCCCTCACTTCACCAGCCTTAATACCCCTCACTTCACCAGCCTTAATACCCCTCACTTCCCCAGCCTTAATACCCCTCACTTCACCAGCCTTAATACCCCTCACTTCCCCAGCCTTAACACCACTTCACCACTCACCCTCACTTTCACCAGCCTTAATACCCCTCACTTCCCCAGCCTTAATACCCCCTCCTCACCACCAGCCTTAATACCCATCACTTCACCAGCCTTAATACCCATCATCACCAGCCTCTTAACACCCCTCACTTCACCAGCCTTAATACCCTCACTTCACCAGCCTTACTACCCCCTCACTTCACCAGCACTTAATACCCCTCACTTCACCAGCCTTAATACCCCTCACTTCCCCAGCCTTAATACCCCTCACTTCACCAGCCTTAATACCCCTCACTTCCCCAGCCTTAATACCCCTCACTTCACCAGCCTTAATACCCATCACTTCACCAGCCTTAATACCCCTCACTTCACCGCTCTCACCATTATCAACAACAGCCACTCTAACAATCATCACGTTTCCACCAGAGAAAAGAATCGAACGAAAAAGATGAACCCAAATCTGCTCTTTCAGCCTCATACAAACTTTACTTCCACCAAACTTCATATACACACAGCCACTTCTGCAACCCCTCCTTCAGAAGGATTACTGCCCCGTTGTGATGAGTGATTCACCACAGTTCTATTTAGCATTATTAGATAGAATTTGATATAAGAATTTTCACTCTTTCATTGACAAAGCCTTCGTTTCCTGTCTTACTGTATGTCACTCATGCTTCTTCATTTCTATTGGAGTTTTCATAGACAGTGATACCTAACTCTATCACCCTTCAGTGTCAGTCACAACAAACACCTTCTGTAAATATGTATGATATATACCCATCTCTTATTGCTTAGTTAAAACATGGCCTTTTTTTAATCCGTGATGAACTAAACAAGCCTCTGTAGCTCTTAACATGCGTCACATTTAGTATTTATATTCACTTATCATTTATTCATATTCTTACTTATGATCTACTTTATCAATTGTTTTCTCTACCTTATCAACTCATTTATTCAATTGTATATTCTACGTAATGAAATTTTTCTTCTGGAGAATTTTATATTTTCATAAATCTTCACAGTACACAACACAGTAGAAAGTATCTCACTAAATCTGAAAATATTGAGTTGAACGACAAGTTTTGTGTCAGGATACAAGTTGGTGAAATTCTCTCTCTCGAGTAATTTCCTGGGTATTACAGCCAAATCACACTGAAATCTATTTATTGGAAATTTCTTACTATCTCTGAAATACAAGTGAGCAAAATTAAATTTTTCCGAGTAATAAATACAAATATATGTTTAGTCCTTATTCTCTCGTGTATTCTACCTATTGTCTGTTTATCAAGTTTTTATTTTATTATGTTTATTGAATTATATGACCAATTATCCTATTTACTGTTTCTTTTATTTACTATGTTTTTCATCAGTCTACTCTAAAGCCAGCGTGAATAAATTTTAATAGATGATAAATTTACCGTAATACAATAAATTTATGATAAACTGTTTAACAAAGATGAAACTTCATATATACTGTAAAAGTGATACAGTACACATAATATATACCGTAACTTGACACGGTAACTGACAGAGTATACACGAAAATTGACTACAAATCCAGGATATACTGCACGTAAATTACGAGACACAAACAATGAACCACACAAACTGGGGATAAACTCTCTCATATATACATTATAATTCAAGCAGTCTAGGTGTGCAATTATCACGAATATCTATAAATTAAAAATAAATACAGGTAATGTATTAATTTGCTTGGTGTTTAATTAGTATTGTATTTAAGTCTGTATCTCTAAACACGATTTTTCTTTAATCATTGTTTTTGTCATTACGAAACGGACATTATTATCTTTTATGATGATGTGTTAGCTTAGGTTGAGGTTTGGAACATTCAAAGTTACAACCTAACCTACACGCATAATATCATATCAAAATATCCACGTTTAATCTTTTTTTTTTTTTTTAATATTCTACAATTCTACTTTTTTCTACAATTCGTAATACTGATTTCCGTAACGACAACATCAGCTCCCGTTACACTGGCAGGTTTAATGCTTTTATATAATACACCATAAGAGATTTAATTTCTTTTACGATGGTATCAAAGGTTCATTAAGTGGTTCAGGGACGTTCACTATGTGGGTCACGCAACGTAAACTTTTATTTTCAAATGTTGTTATTAGTGTTGAGGTAATTGTGTTTATGGATAGTGAGCGACAGGAGTAGTGATGATATATGACGGGAGCTTTAAACGTTAGTTAACTTTGAGATAGCGGCTGTAATAGCAGTCATTCCTCGGGGGAAAATTAATAGGAACGTAACTCTTATGTATCAGGCAAGTTACATTCGTTTATCACGTGTTATTTTTTTTTAATTTTACTAAGTCTACTTTTTCTTGTAAGATAAAGAGTATTTGATTGGGATTCCATATGTTAAGTAAAAGTCCACAGTAGATGCAAGGAACTAGAATTTGCCTCATCTGAAATAAATATTTTGCCTTATGGTGAATTTGAGAAGAGACAGAGACACCGATTTGAAACCTCGCGTAACACCTTACCTTTCTCTTGCTCCTGGCGATTCTGTCCATCCTGGCGGGAGTCTCACCGAGGTTCTTCTTCCCCCAGACGACCATGGCTATTCTGGAGTAGGTGAAGATGAGGACGGCCAGCGGCAGGAAGTACTGTAGCAACATGAGGGCAACACTGTACGCCATGCGAGATTCGTTTTCCGCTTGGCTCTCCCCCCAGTCCTCCATGCACACCTGCCGACTGAACAGCTTGTAGAAGTTGAAGTTCGGGGTGAGGAGCTTGGAGTAAATGGCCACGGGTAGAGTGGTAACTAGGGAGAGTATCCACACCATTGCGATGATCATCTTAGCCTGGAACCTGGTCATCCGAGGCCTTAGAGGGTAGATGATGGCCAGGTAGCGATCGAGACTGATAGCTACTAAGGTGTAAGCCGAGACAAAGACTGACACAGCCTGTAGATAATTGACAGCCACACACAGATGGCCACCAAAAGGCCAGTACTTTAATATCAAGGTACTCATGAAGGAGAAGGGTACGCAGAATATGGCCATCCAGAGATCACCCACAGCAAGATTAGCGATGAAATAGTTGGTCACAGTGCGCATCTTCGCCGAGGAACACACAACGTAAACGACGATGGAATTTCCCAGCACGGCGAAGACGAGGATGGCTATGTAGAAGACATATATAGAAGTGTTGAAGCCCGGGGTGGGTGGGAAGTCACACACCCCTTTATCCCACAACACTACCACTTCACTCTCGTTGCAATAGTCACAAGCAAATTCTAGTTTTAAATGTATGGAGGTGGAGTCATTAGGGGAACACAGGTATAAAATGTAATCACTTTCGTTCCTCGCGCCTTCCTCTAGCGCGAGAAAATTGTTCATGCGATAGTCCAGAGTCGCCATATCGAATTTGTTTCGTCCACCGTAGCTTTCCACAATTTAATTTCGTCGTCACCAAAGTTAGTCGAAATTTGTCTTTCTATGGAGAGAGTTTTATCACCAAGTTCACTCTTGTGTTTTTATATCACTTATTATCTTTTTATTCATTATATTTCGCTGGTCTTGTGTGTCTCAAAGGACGACAAACATTCACACAATTACGGTCACGACTTCAGTGTATCATGACCGTAGTGTCTGTACCCCACCTCAGTCATGACGACTTCATGTTTCACACGACACCAATGGTCCACTGTCTTCAGTCCTCGTCACGGCTCTGTCGCTGTCAGTTGCCGCTTCACATAACATCTACGAGTCCTTCTCACCTTTCCGGTCTTGTCAATTTCATGCCCCTTCTTTTCTCGTCATGCACCTTAAGTCCAAATGATCCTCTTAACCTTTTTGTGTCTTTGTTATCCCACTTGACCTTCCTGTGTCTGCCAGGTTCACCCTCACACTCTCATTGTCTCAGCTCTCCTCACTCACATTTGTTCTGCCAAGCGTTGGCGCTCTCTAACAGGGATCTCCTGAGGCCCAAACTGAGCATTATTATTTTCCAATGTGTTCCAGCGTATCAGTAATCTTATCGTGTAGTATAATGCGCCTCACCTGGCCTCCTTATCACAGTTCCTCCTGTTATCTCTGCCTGCACGTATGGTCACTCGAGTGAGAGTCTGTTGGCAGGTGATAAGATAAGGGCCAGCTTAACTATGCTGTGTATTTCATTTTTTTTAGCTTTTTATTTTCCTTAGTCTAAAATCTCCTTAACTAATATTTGTGCAGGCTATCATGGTTTTCAAAAGGCAGTTAGTTAGGCATTAATCCTGTTGCTTTAGCAGCTTCGGTAAGACCTGGTTTCGTTTTTTATTAAATTTATCACTGGTTTAATCTTTGGGTTTTATGATGGTTTGTTGTTCTCTCCACAAGTGTCAATAAAATGTTTATATTCAGGTTGTTGCAGGTTATGAATTTTTATCAAATATTTTTTCACAATATGTATTAAAGAAATAGTGATAAAGCTGTGTGGGTTTTTTCTGTCCGTGTTAGAGTATAAGGAGTAACCAAACTTTATTTCACCCCTACTCTTTTAATAATTATTTTCTTTTAGCTGACGAATATTTCACCTACCACACTAAGATATTTTTTCTTCAAAATAGAGCATTTGTTTATGTTAAGTCTATTTAGTTAATGCGGATGCTTGTTCATTTCAGACTTGATGCCGGAAAACAGTTTTCAGTTCATTACACTTCATGCTTACGGGTAGCTTCATAAATGTTTAATTCCAATCATGAATCTATTCACAGCACTGGGATCTTCAGGTATTTACTTAATAATAAATCCACTGGTGATAGCAGGTGAGTGTGACTTACATACATACCTGCACATTTCTTCAATTGCGTGCGAACAGGTTACAGGAAATTGTCAGCTAAATTCAATCAATAATAAACCCTGTTGTAGGAGTCTTCAGTTCACAATATTTCCTCGATGGAGAAAACCAATCGAGTCCCTCCGTTATCTACATTGTTAAACCATACCTAATGCCCCCTGTCAAACAAATGCTATAAAAATAAGTCACGACAGTTCCACGTACTGATAAACCAGTGTCACATCTCGCAGCTATGAGAAACTAAGTTAAAAGTCCCACGTCGATACACCAGTGACATGCTCCTGGAAGTTTCACAGCTGAGAAGACGCACCAAACTTCATTCACGTCTGAGGTGTTCTAGTCATCTCACTTTTTCGCTCGCATTCAAGGCAACAGTTCCACCTGTCTGGGAATCTCAGTTTCAACAGAGGAAATTGGAGCAAATAACAGTCGTGGAAGAATGATGATGGGCGACTAAGCCTGCAGAGGGAAGACTAACCCAGATGGGGAGGACGATACGCTAAATGTGGGACGGCTAATGTGGGTGGAAGATGACTAGGCCAGGTTGACGTTATCTTGGCTAAGGTGAGAAACTAATATGACGGTGGAAACGTCAAGACCGGGAGGACGACTAAGCTAAGATGTGATCACTTAAGCTCAAAAGGAGAGGATAGAAGGACAGCTTGGCTAGGCGAAGGACATCTAAAATGAGATGGTAGACGACGAAGGGTTGACTGGGTCGGATTGAGGGTGAACAGCTGGATGAAGGACGACGAAGCCAGGTGGAGGACGAGCAGGCCGGATGTAGGAGGAGGAGAAGGAGGGGGAAGGAAAGCGGTGAACTTGGCCAGTCACGACGGGCGTATGAGAGAGCTGTACAACTGGGCTACGTGTTGAAGCCTAGGCGTCGCTGGCCAAACTGTGGCTCGCTGGCTGCTCGTCTCTCCTCCCGCTCTAGCTCTACTCTCTCCCCCCCACCTCCCCTCTCTCCTTACCCACTCCTTCCGTACCTCCCTCCCATTTCCTATCCCACACACCTCTCTTTTATTCTTCCTTACCCCTCCCCTCCTCTCTCTCTCTCCCGTCTGCCGTTGGGATGAAGATAACTGGAAAGTGAGATAAGGAAGAGGGACGGAAGTGTGGGATGAGAAGGATAGAGTGGGGTGAGAGGGATAGGAGAATTGGGTCAGAAGAACGGGAGAATATATAGAGAGGTATGAGAAAGTTGGTTGAGAGGTGAAAGAGAGTGCGTTGAGAGGGAGAGAGAGTGTGGGTTGAGAGGGAGAGAGAGTGGGTTGAGAGGGAAGGGAGAGTGGGTTGAGAGGAAAGAAAGAGTGGGTTGAGTGGGAAGAAAGAGTGGGCTGAGAGGGAAAGAGAGTGGGTTGAGAGGGAAAGAGAGTGAGTTGAAAGGGAAAGAGAGTGGGTTGAGACGGAAAGAGAGTGTGTTGAGAGGGAAGAAAGAAATTAATGGGTCGAGAAGGGAAGGAAGTGGAGCTGAGAGGAAAAGAAAAGTGGGTTGAGTGGGGAAGAAAAGAGTGGAGCTCAGAGGGGAAAGAGAGTGGGTTGAGAGAGAGGAGGGAGAAGTGAGTTGAGAGGGAGAGAAAGTGGGTTGAGAGGGAAAGGGAGAAGTGGGTTGAGAGGGAAGAAAGAGTGGGTTGAGTGGGAAGAAAGAGTGGGCTGAGAGGGAAAGAGAGTGGGTTGAGAGGGAAAGAGAGTGAGTTGAAAGGGAAAGAGAGTGGGTTGAGACGGAAAGAGAGTGTGTTGAGAGGGAAGAAAGAGTGGGATGAGAGGGAAGAAAGAGTGTGTTGAGAGGGAAGAAAGAGTGGGTCGAGAGGGAAGGGGGAGTGTGTAGAGAGGAAAGGTAAAGTAGGTTGAGAGGGAAGGGGGAGTGTGTTGAGAGGGAAGGAAGTGTGGGTCGAGATGAAACAGAGTGGTGGGTTGAGAGGGAAGTGAGTGGGTTGAGATGTTTACGAGGAGGATCTTCTTATCTTGAGTGGAATATATTTACTTTATCCTTAACTTATCGTTATCACCTCATTAAGTTATTAATATTTTATTGTCTTTTTTTTCTCCCTCGCCCCACCCACATTTAGCAAGAGAGAGAGAGAGAGAGAGAGAGAGAGAGAGAGAGAGAGAGAGAGAGAGAGAGAGAGGGAGGAAGAGCGAAGAAAACAGAGAGAAACAAGAGAGAGTTAAGAGAGAGAGAGAGAGAGAGAGAGAGAGAGAGAGAGAGAGAGAGAGAGAGAGAGAGAGAGAGAGAGAGAGAGAGAGAGAGAGAGAGAGAGAGATACACATCACACACATCTTGTCAAATTACATACGCCACTTCACCATCATCATCATCATCATCATCATCAGGACAGAGTTTAATTAACCCAAAGTCATGATTATAGTGGAAGTTATTCATATACCATAAGAGGAGTCACACACACACACACACACACACACACACACACACACACACACACACACACACATACACAAAATACACACAAACACGCACACACTCACACACACTCCCACTCCCACACACACACACTCTCCACTCTCACACACACACACACACACACACACACACACACACACACAGTGATCATTTCCCTCCTATTCATGACGAGAAATAATTTAAAAACACAGTTTACAGGAACCAGTGTGATGAAATGGTAGTCATGGGCCGTATTAGGGTAGTATTCAGTTGTAAAAGACAGTTTAATGAGGTTTTATTCATGGTTTAGCTGCGGTTTCTTATAGATTACGTTCAATTTAGTGGACTAAGTCTTCTGGAAAATAGAAGAGACTGTCAGAAAGGCGGACGGACAGACGGATAGACACAGACAGACAGATAGACAGACAGACATGAAAGGGAGACAGTAGATAATATACCTGAGGCTTATTCATCTGGTTGGATTATTTTTATTTTATTTTGTGAGTAGTCGTCCATTTAACGTTTTATTAATACAGTAAGAGATAAAAGCGTTTGTTGTTGGCTTCACTGACAGTGTGTGTGTGTGTGTGGGTGGGTGTGTCTGTCTGCCTGTCTGTATATATGTATGTATGTGTCTGTCAGCCTGTCTGTATGTATGTATGTGTCTGTCAGCCTGTCTGTATGTATGTATGTGTCTGTCAGCCTGTCTGTATGTATGTATGTGTCTGTCAGCCTGTCTGTATGTATGTATGTGTCTGTCAGCCTGTCTGTATGTATGTATGTGTCTGTCAGCCTGTCTGTATGTATGTATGTATGTGTCTGTCATCCTGTCTGTATGTATGTATGTATGTGTCTGTCATCCTGTCTGTATGTGTCTGTCAGCCTGTCTGTCTGTATGTATGTGTCCTGTCAGCCTGTCTGTATATATGTATGTAATCTGCCAGCCTGTCTGTATGTATGTATGTATCACCAATCTCATCA